CTTTTTTTTTTACCCTCCGGACAATTCTTAGCTTTTTTTTTTTAAAATTCTTGTGTTTAGAGCTTTTGTCTTACCTTGTTAGCTAAGTCCTAGTTGTCTTAGATTTTGGGGTGGGGTATATCTGGTCTTATCTTTATGTAGCTAATCCAGATATTGTAATTCATCACAAATAAAACAGCTTTAAAGTAAGTCAAACAACAGTTTGATGTTTGCTTTACACAGAACCCTACACTTCAACACAAACAAAAACTAAAATAAAAATCCCCAAAGGTGAAACTTCACAGCTCGGCTTGTAAAACCTGTAAAAAAAAAAAACAACCCAAAAACCATTTGTACTGATAGCAAATCAATTCATCGGTTCGTAAAAGAGCCTTTACTTTCATCAAAGCCATAAATGACTTTTATTTCCTTTGAACTTTGGCTCCTCTGAAGGAGTCATAACTTCAACATTTTCTCACACCACACGACACCGCTTTCTTTAGGGCAGGACCAATGTGTAACATCCGTTATACTCTACTCCAATACTCTTGAAAGCGTTCCTGTAGCCGTATCCGACAGCCATTAATGCTGATAAACATCCGATAACGTGAAATAATTCAATTGTAACTCGTAGCATGTTCTGTTCTTCGTTTACATATGATGTACAAACCGGTTTTTAATCGTTTTAAATCAATGTACAAACGTATTTAAATATTAACTATAAAGTGAAGCAAATCAGGGTCAATGTTGCTGTTAAACTTCATGACAAGTTTTTTGAACGTGAATCTGATTTAAAACGACTTTTTTTTCTCTCCCTTCACAACGTGATGGACCGCGCCCTTACCGCGTGACCGCGCACACGAGCCCGACGCCGATTGCAGACTTTGACGTCGAAGCACGTCATTAGTCGACTGGACTGTCAATCGTTTGTGGCGCGCGCTGCGCAAAGACTTGTTAGTTTGTGTTTCACACCCAGACACTGAGGTGAGGCGGTGCTGTAGACGGGTGAACGATAGAAATACCAAAACCTTAGTCATAGCGGATCACCCCAGAAAAAGAATCAAACGCACCCTCAAATTTCCCGTCCGTCAGAACTCTCGTGAAACCTTCGCGTCAGCTTTCTCGGCTCATGATTGGCTAAAACCGTCGTCTGTCAAATCTTTTCCTGTTACCGATTGGTTTGTAGCGGCTTAGCGCCACCCACTGTCCTATATAAATTTTATTGACATAACTGCTTCTTTCTCGTGTCCCTGCATTCTGCCGTCATTCGCGATACATACGTACGGAGTCCACCGTCTCTGTTCTGTCTGCAAAAAAATGGCTTTACCCAGAGTTTACTTCGACATCGTCGCTGGAGATCAGCCCCTTGGTCGAATTGTGATGGAGGTAAAAAAAAACGCTCTTTATGCCTCGTTGCTGCAGGTGAATGGCTAATGTGTCGTGATTCCACCGGGTTTTGGCCCATTTGTGTTGGCGCGTGGTCCGAGCGTAAAGCGGTACCAGGCTGCGAGGCACAAAACCCCGCGTGTCTGCTCATGGTTCGGCTGTACCCAGACGCCCATTCTTAACGTAACGAACTGTCAGTTTTCATTGAGGGAACCCCGTGCACGTGTATGTGGTGGCGTGTAGCCAGTAGTGTTCGGTGCCTGTCAACCTACCTGCAGAGGGACCCTGAATGCGGCAGCGACACCGAATGGAATATCGGCTTAAATGTAGCGGTTACAAATATTATGTCCAGCGATACAAGGATTTATTGAGGTGACTTTTTTAAATTGCGGCCCACGGAAGGCCCACGAAGCTCGTTTATGGGCTAACGGTGCGGACTTTATGCGAGTCTTTGTTGTAGCTTTCCGGGTCTTCGCCAACACCGGGAAAAGTCGTCTCCTTCGACAATAAGATATACATATACGCGAAACATCAACAACAACATTTAAAGAGTAAAATGAATTTAAAAAATGCATGTGTTTCTTTAATAGTTTTTACATAATACGAGTGGCGCGGGTGTCGGTTCTACGCCGGTGGACTTGGGTACGAGGGAGGGTTTTGGGGAAGGGGAGGGCTGGGGAGCTCTGGAAAGTTCCATAGCGGGCGCGTTTACAGAGGGCTGGG